AGCCGATAGTGGTTGAAAAGAGAAGTATGATCTCTCAAGATCACAGAAAGTAAAAAGAAAAGCAAGAAACAGGAAAAAAATAAAGCATTCTACTTTGGTCAAAGAAAGGATACCTGTAGAGCATGGGCAGAGAAAAGGAAAGCTAGAGAGCACCATAATACAGAGCTCCCAAACACCAGTTTAATATTTATGTCTTAGCTTACCTTTATAGAGAATGGGGGAACCAATGATTTTTCAGTAGAACATTTAGAAAGTTAAAATGGATGAAAACAGGATATACTTTGGAATGGAGCAGAGAGAAGCTAGGGTAACAGGGAATGATTGAAGCCATCCAGGTGAAAACTAATGAAGCCTGAGATGAGGAGAAATCAGAGAAATACAATTTACTTATCAGAAATAGAGATAATGGGATTTCTAGAAAGACTAGATTAAGAGAACCAGGGAAAAGACACGTGATGACCTCAGGTTCCAAGCCTAAGAGAGCACAAGAATAAATTAACAGAAACAGTGAGATAGAGAGAAGATGGCACAAGGAGGATGATAGACATTCAGTTTTAGTTTCACTGAGTTTCAGGGACAAACAATGAAAAAAAAATGAGTTTGTACCTAGGTAGAGAAATCAAGGCTAGAGATAACAACTTAGAATCAACTGCCCTGGAGAGAGCATGAAAAGTGAACTGGTTTAGAGTGTAAGTTGGAGAAAAGTTGATAGTGGTTGAAATGAGAAGTATGATCTCTGAGGATCACAGAAAGTAAGAATAAGGCAGGAGGAGAAACACAAATGGGCAGAGGAATCAAAGCAATTCAAGGAGGAAAACAACAATAGCAAGGGTTATAAGGTAATTGGGGAGAAGATCTCTTCAGCTGTTGTATCATAAACACCTCTCCTGAACCAAGGTATTTCTATTTTAAGAAATGTTAACCTACCATAAATGCTCTCATTCTTCTATTTTAACTCTTAAAATAAAGTCTATCAATATTTCTTGATTCATTTCTGACTCTTGGAAATTAGTCTGTATTAAAATCTCATTACAATGTCTAAAGTTGAACAAAGTTTCCATAGCTGTCATTTGTAAGTAGGTATCCTTCCTTTCAAGGATAGAATGGCATATGCATTGTATAAAAAGGAAAAATAAGAGCGAAACATAAACTACAACTTTTTTTCTTATAGTCTGGATTTAGTCCAATTGATAGCAAACATGGATTTGGTCCTAGTACGAGCTGGCTTGTGTCCTCACAAAATTCACATGTTGATGTACTATTCTGATGTAGCTCAGATGTGGGCTAATTAAGAAATAGCAATGTGGCAGATGTAATTAGTTAAGATTAAGTTATGCTGGAGCAGGATGGGCTTCTAATTCAGTATTACTGGTATCCTTATAAAAATGGTAGATTTAGACACAGGTACACCCAGGAGGCCACCAGTGAAGATGAAGGCAGAGACAGGGGTGCAGTAGCAGCCAAGGAATCCCCAAGGTGGCCAGCAAACCACCAGCAGCTAACAGACAAGCATGGAATAGATTCTTCTTAATAGCTCTCAGAAGAACCCAACAGAAACCCAACTCTGCTGACTTCTTAATCTTAGACTTATACCCCCCAGAACTGAGAAGCAGTAAATTTCTGTTCTGTAAACCACCAAGTTTGTGTTACTTTGCGGTGGCAGCAGCCCAGGCAAAATAATGTCCTCAAACAAGTCAGTTACCAATATATTTTCTCAGCTGGTGCACCTCACAATCTCACCACAGAAGACAGAGTAATAGCTCACCCTTAGGAAAAAAATGTATTCACCTAAGCAGTTTAAAACTATCTTATTTTCCAATCCACTTTATTCCCCAGAGAAAGCAATTCTTTGACTAAAATATACATTGAAAGACAGTTTAGAATAAATTCCTGCCCCTATCTGGACTGCTTCGTCTTCTAAACAAATCTAATAATAGAACTGGCCCATCCACAGGGATTGGCAGGTTGTATGTACCATTGGACCATCAAGGAGTTTCATAAAAGTGAAGCCAGGTGAAATTGCCCATTAGCAAGTGAAGATTCTGAATAGGTGTTTTTAACTGAGGAAATGATTATGATTTCTGGAAATGGACTGTTAGTGTTGTCTTTTGATATTCAGTGTTAGTGGGAACAAATTCCAGCTGCTATTTTATAAAGTGGTTTTTGTATAACTGTAGACATTTATAACTCAGCATTGGTGTCTTTGGCTTGGCAAATGATTCTCTCTATGCAGTGGAAACATTTTCTAATGGTCAAGTTGCTGAGTGGATGGTTTCCATGGCAGAAATACCTCACTCTGGGGCCACTTTAAGTGCTTTCAGCATTATGCATCTCCATTTACAAAACCTTTAGGAGGTCTATTCTAGAGGCTGTTCTATGGCCAAAGATTTTCTTTCTGACAAAACCTCCATATCATAGCTGACATCTGCTGGATTTAAAATATGATTTTATAAAACATTATGGAGATTTACTACTGGCAAAATAGTGCTAAAACCTAATTTAAGTTCCTTTTCCCTCAATTAAAACAAAATGAAAAACAAAAACCAGGACTTTCAAGTGATGATGATCTGTAAAGTCCTCATTTTTGTAGGTGACTACTATAAAGAACCTACGAAACACTGACAAATTGAACCAAACTCATATGTTGCCTCATATATGCCTCAGATATGATCACCCAATGATCACCCTGTCTATCCTTCCCGTTTGTTCATGGACACACTCATCTCTTCTCCTTGGTTCATTCCAATTCTCGGTTCAGTGTTTTTCAGAAGTGGAGATAAGGGCAGTGGCCTTCCATTGGCAGGAAATTTCAAATGGCTGTCCATTCAGGCAATTGTTCAAGTCGGCCAAAGGGTAGAGAAGAATGGTGTGACTATAAGTGATGAGAGAGTATTGAGTGGTATCAGTCAATCACAAGTCACAACAGTCCAACTGATAATAATCCACACCTGGCCCTTATCCCTCAGCCCACAGGGAAGGTAGGCTATAGATTCTGTTCTCTTTTAAAAGAGGAAGCTGCTACCCAGCCAATTTCTGTCATTGAAAGTAAGCCAAGATGGAAATGTTTCCCAATATTCCAAGAGAGTGTGGGAAGCTAGATTTTGAGAAAGAAAACAGATCTTCTGATTTTAAGCTTTGGAAACTATCAGCTTCCTATGACTTGTAACAATTATAAGACAGGGCTTAAGAAATACAAATTTATGATCTGAACAATTCTTGAGGTCAGAAGTTCATAATGAATTTCAACTGGGTTGAAATCAGGGCGTTGGCAGGGCTGCACTTCCTTTAGAAGCTCAAGAAGAGAACTCAGCTTCTTACATTTTCCATTTTCTAGAGGCTGCCTACACTCCTTGGCTTGTGGCTCTATCCCCACTTTCAAAGCCATCAGCATGGCCCCTTCAAATCTCTTTTATCCTCTCTTTTCTTGTTCCATATCCTTCTCTGATTTCCCTGCCTCCTTTCCCTTGTGAAGACCCTTGTGATTACAAGAGGCCCACTTGAGTACTGCAGGATTACCTTCCAGCCTCCATCAAAGAGGACTATGACTGTATGTTCTAGATGGTTCCCAGCTTCAAAGAGAGCCAAACGAGATTCCAGGGCTCAAAGGGTGGGAAGAACAGTTCCTGCATCTATAATTCAGGAAAGGTAAGCCCATGCCCGAATACACCTAGAGGAGGTGTCTCCATGCAGAGACATGCAGGTAGAGAGACGACGGTGACACAGGTTAGGTTTTTGTAACGTTTTTCATGTCTTCTGGGATACCTCTTCACTAATCAGACCACTTACATTTGCCTTTGACCAACAGAAAATTTCACATATTGATTTTTGACAATATTTAGGACTTGAGGGTTATTGGTGTAAATACTAGTTTATGTTATTATACACCATTTCACAAATGAGCAGAATAATTTTTCATTCATGTCTAACCCATCTGAGGTCATATGTGACTTCTTTCATGTCAAGTTTTCCTCTTGGTTCCTCAAGGGTTGTCTCTGCTTTTTCCTAAGAGGAGCTTGGGCACAGATACAAACTGGCACAATGAAAGTGACATTAAGGTATCCTCATGACAACAATCTGATGGATCAGGTTACATTTCAGTTTTGTTCGAAACTTGGATGAATCTGGCAAAGACAGAATTGGCACAATGACTTTCACCATGATTTATGATCTTTCTAGGTCAAAGTTGAAGCAGGTCAGATAGGCTGAATTGGAATCATGTCAAGATGCAGATTCTTGTCTGCTGGCAAAAAGATTGTTTTCTTCTTGTTCCAAGTATTAAATATTTTACTGAGAATATGTGTACACATTGCAAACACAGTGTGAAGAAATACATTGCCTTCTTCATGGTTTTAATCCCAGCTCTTAGTATGGGCACCAGGTTTACCCTCAGTGAAGTAATAGTATCTTCCTGAAAATGTCTTTGGTCAAGACACATCTGTGTCACCCCAGGCAAGTTATTCAAACAGTTAAATAAGTTAAATAATAAATAAATATATACCTTTGGAGACTCTTGAAGGACTAAATGAAGTAATAGATGTGAATGTATTCTATAACTCTGAAGTTTCATATGAAGGTAATGAGATGTTATTACATATGTTTGAATTCAATTTTACTTTTTTTCTTTGTACCATTTTCTTTAGGAGAAAACACTCGCACATTATCTCATAAATTCTTTGGCCTAAGTGTCTTCTAAATGATTCTAATTCTTATCTAAAGGCTAATTAAGCTGCTTAGGGCCCAGGTTCAGTTATTTTTTAATGTTTTGAACTTCTTTTATCAGAAAAAAAGAACAGAACTAAGTCCATATTCATATCATACAGAGTATATAACACTTGCAAGGTTGGAATCTCAATTAGAGAAGGCAGATTTTTTTATGTTTGTGGTTTTATAGAAGGATCAATTTTATAAATATCATTAAAAATATTATGAGGAGGGGCTGGGATTGTGGCTCAGCAGTAGATCGCTCACCTAGCAGGGGCGGGACCTGGGTTCAATCCTCAGCACCACATAAAAAGGCATTGTGTTGTGTCCATCTACACCTAAAAAAAATAAAAAAATAAATATTTTTAAAAAATATTATGAGGAAACTTCCTATTACTAAAAAAAAGTTAATTGGTTTTGATAGAAACAAGTTGGTGAGATATTTTGGAGGGAGAGGTAAATTTGGTCATGGAATAAATTTTGCCCAGGCACAAATTTACTGGTTTACTGGTTGCTGAAAACATCTGGAACACTTCAAATTTTGCATTATGAACTAGAACAATAGAGTTGTATAAAACTCTTACAATGTATTATGAAGCCAGCAAACTATGTGCTGCCTGAGTCATGAACTCTGAGTTTGGCAAAACTTAGATCATTGTTTCTTAACTCAAATTTGATTTCTTTTCAAGTTTTCACAATGAATTCACATTTCTTTAGGCTGCACATCTCCACCTGTTTTTAAGTTATTGTTTGACTGATTTGATTGAGTGATCTCGTTTGCTCATCTCATCCTGTGTAGCATCAGTAGTTAGCTTTGTAGCTATGCCTCATAGTTACCAGGCTGACCTGGAGGAATCCTCGAATGGCCTGAAGCATGTTTAGCCCTTGGGAGATGTGCAACTTCCTTATGGAGGCTTGGATTTCTGAGGGACAGTAGTTTTTATTGTAATTCTGTCTCTAGCATTAGAGGGAGTTCAGGTGTGAGTTAAGAGAGAATGGATTTTTGGAGACAGGAATAATGGTTGTGAATACCAGGTTGCCATTTTTTTCCCCCTCTGGTGAACATTGTTGCATTACTTTATTTCTTGATATAATGGATCCTTGAAATACTTAAGGGATAATTTTGAAACATAGAAATCCTGAAATGCAAGAAATACTACTGGAGAATTCTGGAAATTTACCATTGAGGGGAAAGAAAGATGAATAAGGCAAACACAATTTGAAATAGAGATTCCATCTTGCTCTCTGGCTAATAATTTGCTCCATGACTTCAGCTTCCAAATTGGCATCAGCTTCAAATAGATGGTTTAGAAAATTACAAGTCTTGTACTTCTGGGGTTATTGGAAAATAGCCCAAATATCCAGTGTTAAGTCTTCAAATGAAAAGAGTCCACTGTAGTACCTACTTCTTAGATTTGCTGTAGTCATCAGGAAATGAAATACATGCAAAAGAGGATGTAGCAGAATCAATCACATTACTTTTTCCAGAGTAATGCTTGTTAGATGAGTGGAGTAAGAGAACTAGTTTTCTTCAGGTACAAATGTAATGATGATTTCATGCACTCTTTAGATATTTTTTCTAGGATTCTCTAGACTCATTCCCTTTGGAACATACTCCCTGGGTCAATATCTCTATGTCCACATAGGGAGGAAGCCAGAGAATAGTTTCCTGTTCAACACTCTCTCTTCTCTCCTCCTTCCTCTTCTTCATTCTCTGTGAGTAGGATCTGTGCTCATCCTGTGTGTGTGTGTGTGTGTGTGTGTGTGTATTTGTGTGTTTGTAGGAGACAAAAATTTTACTTTTTAATATTTTCTTCTTTTTAACTAAATTTTGGTTAAAACAAGAAAGTAATGGGACTTAAAATATATATCAGAGAATTAACAGAAATCTCAGAATTAAGTTAAAAAAAGAAAAGTTAAAAGATTCAACATTACTATATTGAATATATTACAGTTCATGTGAGAAGTCAGATTCTGAGCAAAAAGGAAAAAAGAAATTTCTGTAACAATCACATGTATCCCATCAATTCCTGTCAGATACATAAAAACTGAATACAACATTTGAAAAATGAGTTCTATTTCTGGTTTAAGATGGCAGATGAGGTACAAGTTTTCATTTTAACATCTATTAAAATAAAAGTTAAAGAAACATAAAGATAAACCAATAATATTAGAGTAAAAAAATTTCGGGATGAATCAAAAAACAAATGATTTCAGTGAACTTCTGGGAGATTGAAAATGAATAAGAAGAATATCTTGGTGGGTGAAACAGACTAAGGAAGTCAGTTTTATAAATAATAAAAAGCTACAGGAAGACAAGAACTGATCTCTTCTGCAGAATCCCAGAAGGTCTCTGGCTTCACAGTCAAAAGCAAGAGGATGTCAACTAGAATTTCTAACTCCATATCATGTACAACCACAAGAATGGGATCCTAATTAGAAAGTTATACTCTGTGTAGGTACAATATTTCAAAATACACTCTGATGTTGTGTATATATAAAAAGAACAACAAAAAAGAATGAATAAAATTGTATAGTTTGCCCTACTTTTAAAAAATCAGATTTGTAATGAACTGCTGCTGCTGTTGATGTGGCTCTTCAGTCCCTCTGCCCCAAACCAACATGTAAAGCAAACCAGCTAGCCCCTCTTTAAATAGAACAATGTTTGTGGAAAGCAAAGACTCCTAGTCCTACCTTGCATGCAGACAAAACACATGGAAGGCTTCATTGTATTTGTAGGACAATATGCAAATATTAATAAGACTACATAATGAAAAAATTATAAGTATAGCAGATAGAATGAATAGGACAGGTAGAGAAAAGAATGATCCTCTGATATCAATAATGTGGTTTTCATTCATTCACTAGACAAATATTTTCTGAGAAGCTACTGGGTACAGGTATTGTTCTATGCTCTTGGAAAACAGAAAAAGGAAAAAACAGACAAGTCTCAACCTTCAGGGAGTTTATGTTACATTATGTCATTTGCAAATAAGGCTGCAAGAGATACTCCAAGAGCCAATGGAATGAGAAATAAAGGTTTAAACATAATATTTAAAGATGACTTATAGAACTAATAATAATATGTATTGAGAAAAGTAGAGGTAAGTGATTTAAATTATAAGCTCTCACATAAGAGATTCATTGACACTGTCTTAAGTTGATGAATCAAAACAGAGTTTGGGAGGAAGTCACCAAAAATTAAAACAGAAACAATTGAAAGACTTTGTCTCCAGGATATAGGACTGAGGGTAAGAAGAGAAGAACTGTAGAGTCATGTTTGCTTTCCATCCTAAATTCTATTTGCTTTGTTACCACGTGCATGCATCACATTGATTGATATATATGTACATTTAAATTAAGTGACTTCTAAGAACAACTGCAATCAAAGAATGAGACCCATGTTTAATTTACCAAGTATCATCAAATTAGGCATGACATCATTTGAAACAGATTTTCCTTTCTTCTATCTTTTAGTGAGTGCTTAAAAATAGACACCATTTTGAATCTTCTTTTGGCTATAGTGAATGGTGAGGCAAAATAATTGGTTTGTGAAGGCCCGTGCTGGAAAGGAAAGATAGAAAGAAGTCCGAGTATGTGTTAAAGCAAATTGAGTGCAGTTCATTTGGACAAGATAATGCTTTCTGTTCCCCATTGTTTACCCCTGCTTAGCCAGCAGGATCAGGGAAGTGGAGCCAGCATTTATTGAATGCTTATATTGTATTAAGTAGTTTGTATACAGGAAATCACTGAACCTGCTCAACAACTTTATGAAATCGGCATTCGTTTCCACATTGGATAGATGAGGAAACTGAGGGTAGACACATGACGAAGCTTGCTAAAGGCAACCCTGTTTTGAAAAAGCTACACTTCCACATCAGGTTTTTCTGACTCCAAAAGTTGTGTATGATCTTTCTTCCTTATGCATTGATTTTTCCAGAGTATGCATTCTTAAAAAAAGACTAGATTTTAATAAAATTCCGTTTGAAGTTTCCTATGGATATATTCTGTTGTGCAAATTTTCATAAGTGATGTATTTTTCCTGGTGCCTGAGACATTTAGCTAGTTTGATAAATATTTCAGCATAAAATGGATAATAAAGGTACATATCTATTAATTTCCTAGTAGTTGAACAAAAATCAATTTGTAAAGTTTTATTATTTTTATTCTCAACCAATATTTTCCCTATTACTTTATGCTGCACTCAATATTTTGCAAAATTTATCCTTGAACAACTCTTTTGGTCCATCTCATGACCAATTTCACATACATACAACTACTTGCATGTTATTTTTTTAATTTTTTTTTATTTTTTAGGTGTAGATGGACACAACACAATGCCTTTATTTTTATGTGGTGCTGAGGATTGAACCCGGGTCCCGCCCCTGCTAGGCGAGTGCTCTACTGCTGAGCCACAATCCTAGCCCCATACTTGCATTGATATTATCTGCTGGAATGAGACAACAATTTTTCCTTAGATCCACTATCTGTCAAAAGAGAGAAGCTTAGGACTGGGCATGTAACTTGGTGGTATAGCACTTGCCTGGCATGTGCAGGGCCCTGTGTTTGATCCTCAGTATGGCAAATAAGTAAATAATAAATAAACTCTGGTAGCAAATTAGATGCACACAGATTTGGGAAAGACAAACATAAGTTAGCATTTATTTCACATAGATTTTACATGCCAGATATTTTTCATATATCATTTCATTTAATCCTTTCTATAAATTTATTGGGAAGATATTTTACAAATACAAATGGAAACTATAAACCAGAGAGTTTAAGCAACTTACCCAAAGTCACAAGCCAGGTAAGTAATAAAACTATGATTTGATGTATATATGTGACTGCATGACCAATATGATTCTATAACATGTACACTCAAAGAAATGAGAAATCATATCCCATCTATATATGATACATCAAAGTGCATAAATGTCATGTTAACTAATTAAAACAGTAAAAAAAACTTTCTTAAAAACCTATGATTTGAGCACAGGATTTAAGTAGTATACTTGTCATGTTTCTCAAATTTCCTGACATAAACAATTTTACAAGTTCTTTTTGCAGCCCTTAGGAGGTAAGATGGACTGTTGAATAGTGAAGCTGGATGTACTTTAACTGTTGATATCACTGACCTGAAATAGGCTTGCCTCTATCAATGCTCCTCTGGAGAGAGGTCCCAAGTGGGGCATTAAGGACACATTCTCTATCTTGGTTGATTTCGTGTTGTTTTTATTGGAGAGTTAGAGGGGTTCGTGACATGATGATCTGTTTCTCTCAGAAGATATGAGACTGGAAATAGGAGAAGGAAAGTAAAGGAAAATGAAAATCCTTAAAAAGATGACATTCTTTTCCTCTCTAATATGATGAAATTGAATAAGAATAAAATTATAATCATGTACTTTTGTCTTAAAATTTATCTACTCAATTATACAGAATTGCAATGATATGGCTTAATGGGAGCTCATGCAAAATCTGACCATCTCTTCAGTCTCAAGCCTTCATTATAATTTTCATCATAATAGCTCCCAAATATACATCTCCAACCCAAACTAACACCCATAGCTTTAGTTCTGCATGTCTAATAGTTCAAGCAACTCATATTCTTGGAGTTGGTGATGTCTAAAAGTCTCCTCAGACTCAACATGTCCATTATTGTACTCTTAAATCATTCCTTCCAAGCTCATTTTTCTTCCAATATCTCCCAATCAGGGAATATTTCTGATATATATTTGTTAGTAAATTTAGGAGTCATCTTGAGATCTCCTTCCCTCTCACCTTTGTACTACCATCTCTAATTCTTCCTATATCATTCCATTTGAACATCTAGAACTTCAGAATTTGTCACTCTTTCACCTTCACCACTACTTATCAGCCCATGGAATCCTTATTTCTCACCTGTACTATTGCTGTGGTGTAACTGATCTCCTTATTTCTCCTCTGGCCTTCTCCAACCCACTCAACACACAGCCTGAGTGATACTTTCAAAACACAAATATGACTGGGTTATGCACACATCCACTCCCACATTACATTTCTTTAATGTCTTTTATTCCTCTCATATATAAACCAAAATCATACCTGTTTCCCTTCCCAGCCTTGTCCCTTAATGATTTGTTTCTTCCTCTCTTCATTCCAATGTATGGACTTTCTTTTAATTCCTTGAATACACTGTGGAGTTTCCCATCACAAAGCCTTGGCATATGTTGTCCCTTCTGTCTGAAATGTTTCCTTCTCTCCATTTGCTTAATGCATGCTCATCCTTCAGATCTCCATTAAATTAGCATTTCTAGGGCTGGGGATATGGATCAGTGGTAGTATGTTTGCCTGGCATGCATGAGTCCTGGGTTTAATCCTTAGCACTGCAAACAAAACAAAATAGGACAAAACAAATTATTGTTTCCAGATGGAAGCCCTCCCTGACTCTCTAAACTAAGAACTGAGTTTCATGTTCTTATAGAAGTATTTACTTGTTTTGGAGCTCTCATCTTAATTCATAATCCAGTTAATGGTTTATATAACAAATATTTGCTGCATATTATGTGCTGGGCTCTTTTATAAATGTTGGGGATATAGTGGTGAGTAAAATAGTAAAAGTTCCCTTCTAAGGATAAGCAATGGAGAAGATAGATAATATTCAAATACACAAGTGCTACAGAGAAAAATACATGTGGGAAAGAAGAAAGTGCCTATGTATGAACACAAGCATATGCTATTTTGAGTAGGGAAGAACTGATAAAAGTAACATATGAACTAGATCAGAAGGTGAGCATTGCAAATACTTGTAGGCAGACTGATCCAAATAGAGGAAAGAGTCAGGTGAAAAACCTTGAGATAGAAGTGTATTCTCCATGTTTAAATAGCAACTAGAAGGCTATCATGATTGGCACAGAGTAAATGGGAAGGAAAACTATAGGAGATGAGGACAGAAAAAGGGACCAGGTCATGTAGGGCCTGGAAGACCAATGCCAATGGATGTGTAACTGATGTGATTCTGCAATCTGTATATGGGGTAAAAATGGGAGCTCATAACCCACTTGAATCAAAGTGTGAAATATGATATATCAAGAACTATGTAATGTTTTGAACAGCCAACAATAAAAAATTAAAAAATAAAAAATAAAAAAACCTTTGTATAAACAAAACAAAAAAAAAGATCTTTGTCTTTCAGTCACTGGGAAATAATTGTGCAAGTTCAGTGAAGGATGTGATATAACCTATGTTTTTTATGGGATTAAGATGGTAGCTGTATGGGGAATAAACTGTAGATGTTGGAGAGTAGAATGAGAGATATCAATTAGGAACTTGTCTGCACTAATCCAGGCAAGACATAATGGTTGTTTGATCAAGATGGTAACAGTAGAAGTATTCAGATTCTGGATAATTTTGAAGGAATGACAACAAAATATTGGCAGATTGGGTGTGTCTTTCAAGAGAAAGAAAAAAATCAAGGATTACTTCAAGTTCATGCTGTGAGTAATTAAAAACTGGAATCTCTATTTATTGATAGAAGCAAGTCTATGAGAGAAACATATTTAGGAGGAAAGCCCAGGGGTCAGCCTGAGGTTTGGCTATTACTTACTAAGTGAATCAGAGAACAGACAGTTGGATCTGTGAAGCTAGAGTTTGGGAACAAAGTCAGGGTAGGGTGACCAATTCTCCTGGTTTGCCAGGAAACCAGTTTCCCAGGCAGTACTAAAACTAACAAAACTCTAGTCAAACTGGGATGAGTTGCTTGTCCTAGGTCTGAGCTACAGATTTGAATTTGTGAGTCATTTGTGCATAAATACCATTGGCTGTAAGATTAGATAAGATCACCCAGAGAGTGTGTGAATGAGAGAAGATAATTGGTTCAAGGTGACTTGAGCATTTAGAGATGAGGAAGTTAAGAAAGAATCACAGAAAAGGATAAGAGAAGAAGGAGGAAAACCTACACCCCAGAGTGGTGTCCTCTAAGTCAAGTAAAGAAAATGTTATAAGTAATAGGTAGTAATTAACTATGCCAAATATGGACGATAAATAAAATGAGGACGAATGGACCACTGGATTTCACAGTATGGGATCATTGGTGACCTTGAAAAGGGCTGTTGTCATGGAATTTGGGGAGCAAAACTTTGGCTGTAATAGGGTTAAGAAAGAGGAATTGTGACATGTGGTGTAAAGGAGGATGGAGAAATAGGGAAGCAGCTAGAGGGAGAAGTAGGGTCAAGAGGGTTTTAGATAAGAAAATAAGTACCATATTTATAAGCTGTTGAGAAGTACCACCAGAATAAATGCTATAGGAGAGAAATGGAAGAATTTCTGGAGCACAGACCCTGTGCAGACACTCAAGTAGATTTAGATAAGATCACAGATAGTTTATGTGGTTCAGATAAAATTAGGCAGGAAGAACTTAAGTATTTTTCTGATTGCCTCTATCTTTTCACTGAAGAGGGGAAGTTAGGTCATTAGACAAGACTGGCAGGTGTGGAATGGGGCAAAAGTTCTGGAAGAAATTTAAAGGGGTGGGGAAAGAGGGGCAGATGAGTATATAACTCCCATGTGGAAAGTAATGGATAGTCTGGTGACATGAGGTTCAAAGCTGAGAGAGGGAGAAATACTTGGGCAATTTCAGTGAAGGATGTGATATAACCTATGTTAGTGGCTCATATAACCCCTTACACATAACCTAGGTTATATGTTTGTGTAGAGGTGAGAGGGAAAGGAAGAAAAACATTTAGAAGAGGAGCAAGGAGACCACACTTCTTACTTGCAGGCCAAGAGATAGAGCGGTCCTGAGATAAACAGACAACATGTGAGACATCCAGAGAGGAAACGAGTCCTCAGGGAAGACGTGACTTTCAGTTGGAACACAAGATATTAAGTATTTTAAGGCACAGTGAATGAGTTGGAGGAGTTGATGATGGGGGTGTGAGTTCAAGTCACAGCCTTGAGGGTTTGTGTTTATGGAATCTCATAAGAGGCCTAAGCTTTTTATGCTGACTGAAATAAACAGGGGTAAAATATTGATAGTGGTAGAAAGACTGAATCTCTTGGGAGGGAGCTCTGGAGGCCCCTTTCTTTTCCCACCAATGAAAGGGAGGAGACGAGGAGGGGACCTTCAGTGAGCATGAAGGGTTCTGGGACCATCTCTTCACTCCTGCTAACCAAAGATGTTTCCCCAGGTGTTCTCAGTGTCTGTCTCCCCCACTGGATGATGAGCTCCCTGAGGGCAGGAACTCTTTACTTTTGCATTTCCTCTGTTGTGAATGGTGCCTGACACACAAGAAGTGTCCAATAAATTTATGGTGAACAAATAAATAAGGAAAGAATAGAAGTCTGTGAGGTTCATACAAGCACTGGTGTGACGAGGCCTCCAATTAAAGGAGACAACATCCAGAACAAACAGAGTAGTAATCTCCCTGCTCCTGGTTGGGTGTTGTGTATCTACAGCACTCCATCCATTCACTTTTTAGAAATGTTGGCGAGATGTGCTGGGCAATTTTGTTTCTCAGAGAGATAATATTTTATCTTAGATTCCGTCAAGAACCGAGGAGATTTGTTGTAAAGATAATTGTAGAAATAAGGCGATAGAAATTTCATGGAAATACAAAAATAGCCCAAAGTATGGGCCTCATGAGGGATGAACCACACTTTGGAAACTAGGTTATTTTGTGACTCCCTCAGTGTCTGAAGACAGAGGTAACCCTCCATCTTAATGTTAATTCAGCTCCTTTCTGTCTGCTTGTGTGGCTTTTATCACTACCAATCAGTTATATTTCCCTTGTCCTAAAAATATTTTTTTCTACTTCATGCTTGCTGATGGTTTCTTCATATTCATTATTTCTGCTAAGCTGTGCAATAATGCTCTGTGCATTTTAGGCTGATATTCCTCATCTTCCCCCTTTATAACCATCCAGATATTCCAAAATCACTTTGTATATCTCTCTCAGTACTTGAGTTGACCCATTTGACTTTCTTTCTCTATTTGTGGCTTTAAAAAAAATGCTTCCTCAGTAGTTTTCTGTCCTACCAGATTGTGTCTCTTTTCCTCTGTTATAGGAGGTCCCAATTTCTTATTTAATGACGACTGACCCTTTCATGGTTCCTTTTCTAAGCTCCCTAATTCAACCAGAAGGAGCAGGTAGATGCGGTTGTATCCTTTCCTTCCCATGTAAGTCTTTCCTGGCCTTCAACGTAACATTTAATTTTCCTTGTACCAACTAAGATCTTAATCTTTGGTTTTAGGAAATCTGTCTCATTCTCCAGGTTAATCAGCCTGTCTTCCTCAATTTTGTTTCCAATCTTCTTCTGTTCCTTTTTTTAATAAAGTGAAAACACTTTTTAAACCACTCAAGTTCCTATTTGATTTCTTAAGCAAATCTACTTCTAGAGGAAGAGTGTTGTGCACGATATTTTAGTTGCCTTCTTAGCCTTTGGGTTTGTGTTGATTTTCATGTTCTTTCTCTACTTCAGCCCAAGATCCATATGTATATCTAAATACTTATTAGAGACCGATGTACAGCAGGAAGTTCAAACTGATCTTCCCTTTTATATCCTTTCATGTTTCACCACCATCTGACCAGAAACTAAAGCCCTAAATTTGTATTTATCTCCCACTACTTCCCCCTTACCCTTACTCTACATAATTAATAGTTGTCAAATATTAAATATTTCTCAAGTATGCCTCTTCTCCCCTTCCGATTGCCATTCCTCCAATTCAGGTTCCTGCCATCACTTGCAATCAGTACGATGACATTATTGGAAAACCTGCATTGATGCTCCACCTCTCTAATCCCTTCTTCATACTGTGGAGGGATTTATAAAGTATCAACCTAGCTATTCACTTCTTGGACTTATAACTTTTTTTTTTTTTTGGTTTCGGAGATTGAGCCCAGGGTCTCTTAACCACTGAGCCATATCCCCAGCCCTTTTTGTATTTTATTTAGAGACAAGAGTCTCACTGAGTTGCTTAGGGCCTCATTAAGTTGCTGAAGTTGGCTTTGAACTTTCAATTCTCCAGCCTCAGTCTCCTGAGCCACTGGGATTATAGGCATGTACCACCGAGCCTGGTGGACTTATATCTTTTAATGGATATCTATTACCTTCAGTATAAAGTTATCATTGTATAATAACTATAATTTGGCCTCTGACCCCTTGTCTGGCCTCAGATCCCTAATTGTACTCCATTCTATTGAACCCTCATTCCATCAATAATAAATGATTGGCAGATACAAATTTGCCACATCCTTTCATAACTTCCTGCCTGATGTGTTGCTAGATTTGTCATTATGCCCTTTTGTCCATGGTTAATCTGGCAAAATCTAGTTCCTCACTCTTGACTCCATTCAAACAGCTCTCACTCATGAATATTTACT